CCCCCACAAGGCGCTCTCTTACTCATTGACTCCTCTATCTACATTTTCACTGACTGCCTGTCTTGCATGCATACCAGCCCAGCCTCTGGCTTTTTTACTTTTCATTCCATCCAGGAAGAGCACACATTGACTGCAAAAACTTAGCCTGACAAAGGGCTTTTGAACCCAAAAGCTTGCTTAAAAATTGTTCTCCAACTAATTAAGTTGGTTTAATAAAAGATATCAGATTCACCCAAAGAACCTTGCCTGCCTATGTCCTTAGACTAACAGGGCTACAACCTACATTTTCACGTTTCATGGGGGTGTTTTTTAGTGCACGTCACCCTGAGCCTTCTCTGGGGAAAGTAGGCTGTAGAGAACTCAGTGGTTCTCAACCTTTTCAGACTCAAGACACCCCACAGTAACATAAGAATTGCCATTTACTTGGGCAGACCATAGGTCCATCTTGCCCAGTCACTTGTGCATCACAGAGCCAGACAGTGGATGCTGAAAGGGAGAGAGAACTAGTTCTGACCAGGGTTTCCCTCCCCACCACTGTTCTTTTCTCACTTGCAGCCTCTGGCATTTAAGGTCTAGGAAGTTCTGATTCAGAGGCTGTAGCCCCCCCCCCCAACTCCCATGATGCTGATCATACACTGGATGTCACACTGACTGCATGTCAATAGCTACTGATGCCCCTTTCCTCCAAGAATCTGTCCAATCCTTTTGAATCTGGCTAAACTGTCAGCTTCCACAGTCTCTGGTACCAACAAGTTCCACACTTGAATGATGCTGTGTGAAAAAGAACTTCCTTCTGTTTGTTTCAAACTTACTACTTAATATTTTCCAAGGGGGACCTTGAATTTCTCTCCTAGTTTTTACTCCCCTGTTGGCTACATAAGGAAAACAGAGCAAACTTTCCATCATAAATGACTCACAGGCCCACTCTACATGTTACCCTTACTATGCGATTAACCAGAGTTACACCTTAAATTGTGCCCCAGCTACACATTCAACCAATTAAAGGCAAGATTAAGACAAAAAGGAACAAAGTTATTCCACAAAAGACATATACAGAAAACACCTTCAGCTCTCCTGTGCAATATGAATTTTCATTTCCACCTAGGAGAACTTTTACAATCTTTGCAATCTCCCAAACCTGATGAAGGGCGCCTATGCCTAAAAGCTTGCAAAGAAACTTTTTTTTTTTGCAAACATCTAGTTGATACCACCTCTGCCACAAGGTTTGATTCCTTTGTACTAACTTTGTGGCTTGTTCAAAGGTTTGGCCAAGCCCTCCAGCCAGGGACTAGAGCCCCAGCAACATCTGACAATAAAGTGGGAAGGAGAGAGAGACAGAGAGAGCTGCCAACTCCATCTGCATCTATTCCAGGTTTCATCCCATGATGTAATTACGGCGCATCGGGAAGGCAAATGCACATGACTATTACATTTTAAAACCCCTAGTTTTTAAAATGTAATAGTGTATGAATAATGTCATAATTAATGTAATAGTGTTTAAAATGACAAATGTATAAATCAGACCCAACATTTAATAAAATTTATTTTAATGCACGCCCTGTCATTTATCTCCCGGGTGACTTTCAGCAGTCTCCTGCAGATTAATATCCAATTCCCAGATCAACCCTGGACATTTGGCCAGCCTAGCAGAGGGGAGCAGGGGAGGGGGAAGGGGCAGAGACTGTAGGGAACAAGAAGGGAGTAAACCCCTCCCCTGCTCTAGGACTGGGGTAGTGTGATCAGCGGGCTCCCCGTGTCGCCCCCTTGCGAGGGGCGGGGCCGGCCGCAGCGCTGCCCCCAGTGCAGCCTCCCGAGCCCCGCTCCCCCCCGCCCCCGGGCCCCGGGCCGCCAGCTGAAGGACGCGGTCCCGCTCCTCGGGCTGCACGAGCCGCGCGGCCAGCAGCCAGTCCTGGCGACTGGGGAGCCAGGCGGCGCACGGGAAGGCCCAGCGCACGCGCTCCATGACCTGCCGCTGCGCTGCCCGACCCAAGCCCCGCCCACCCCAGCCCCGTGAGTCTGCGCGGAGCGAAACCCCACCCCTTCCTCCACCCCTGCTCTAGGTAGGGAAGAGCCCCCGGGGCCAATCAGCTGTCAGTACAGCCTCGTGAGTGACAGGGAGGTACCCCGAGCCCCTAGCCTATCAGAGGAGAGACGGTTGCCGTTGGGAACGTGGCGTCAGGAAGAAGAGGGGCAGGCAAAGAAGATGGAGGAGACGAGCGGCCCGTTAAGGCGGGTGGGCGGGCTTGTCCTGAGATTGACAAGGGGAGGAACCACTCGCAGCGCGCTGCCGAGAAGAGCGACGGCAAGGAGAGCCAATGAGCGTGCGCTGGCCACGCAAGGGGTGGGCCTGACGAGCGGAAGGCTGCTGGCGGCTGCTGCAGGTGGGTGGCTGCGCGCTGTGGAGGGAGGGGGCAGCCGGCGCCCGGAGGTGCTAGTACAGGAGGCAGGTCCATCCCGGGACAAGGCTGCTGTGTCAGGCTGTGAGCTGGGGCGGGGGGAGTGGTCCTCAACTGGCCGCTGCGCGGACTGCCGCAATACGCCTCAGAATAAAGCCTGGGGTGTTCACTGAGCATGCGCGAGCCATTTGAGCATGCGCTGTAGCGCGTGTTGAAGCCGCGGGGCTCCCGCCTGGCATCCTTCCCCTCTGGGCGGGGCCGGGACGCGTCTGTCAGGGGAGGGAGGAGCTCTGGGGTGACTGATCCGCATCTTGTCTCCAGGCCAGCTCCAGAGGGACAAGCCCGCTCCTCCCTCAGCCCGGTTTAGTGCTGCCTCCCAACAGCATGGACTGGCATCTAAGACGATGATGCTCCCCAAATTGATAAATGAGAAATGTATCAATTTCCATAATTTTCCAGGTGTAAACCTAATTATTGGAGGGGTGTCTTCCATTCATGCTCCCTGTGCCCCCACATCTTCCCCCCAACCACTCAGCACAACCACTGCCCCTTCCCCACAATCACTCAACACAATCAGTGCCGCCTACAATCTCTGCCCCTTCCCCTCCCCTGCTCCCCTCAATCTCAGCCCCTCTCCTCCCCCCCCCCACCCCAGCCTTATTGTCAGATGTCCTTTGGACAGTAGTCCCTGGCTGAAGCACAGCATGTGGGACCATGGTCCTTGCAGGCAGGGGACTGTTTCCCTGTGCTCCGTGCCGGGGGAGGGGGGTGGGGAAATCCAGCAGCACCTGAGCTGTGCCTGACAATAAGGGGTGGGAGGGGGGTGCAGAAACTGCAGAGGGCAAGCAGAAACGGAGGACTGGAGGCCGCTGTGGGTTTGACTTGCCCTGGCCCAGGCTTGGGGCCACAGTCAGAGCCAGTGCAGCCCCCCGCCCTGCATCTACTCTATGTATGCATCTAAGATGAGGGGCTTCCCCCCCATCTTAGATTTGAGTAAATACAGTAATTGCCCTTTAAAACCTTGCGTGTTAACACCTTTCCCACCCCTATTTTGGTAGGATTCAAATCTTGAGCTAATCAGCCCCCAAGGGTTAAACCAATCTGTTTTCAGCCTAAAGGCTAGGGTTTGCTGTCAGACAAGGAGCTCAACTCCAGATCACACTGGTCGTCTGTTCTTAGCCCAGGTGACCCTCTGCTTTGTTTATTTTCCCGTTTTCCCCCCACTGTGTGCTGTCACCTCAGCAGCAGCCGGCTAGGAACTCTGCTCAACCCAGTGTTGGGCACCACCAGCCCTTTAGCAGTAGGTAGCTGGCAGACGCAGCAAGTGTTGACCCTTCTGGAGTTTAATGTGGAGCCTGGCCAAGATGAGCTCCTGAGTCCCTCTTCAACCACTAATATCCACCTTGCAACCAGCCCCGTTTATAAACCATGTGCATATCCTTGGGGTCCAGGAGAAACTGTGCATCTACCCCAGTTCAGGGTGAGTGGTGCTCACTAAATACCCAATGCTGTCACGGTCAGCTTAGCACCCCCAAAAACTGATTAACTTCCCTTCTTTTCAAAGTTTATAAGTGCACCCCAGCAACTGACTATGAGAAACCTTGAAAATGAGGGGAACTAGCCAATGTTGGGGATTTTAATACCCCAGCACTGACAGAACTATGTAGTTTCAAGGCTTCTAATAATGTTTGGCACTCTAGTATAAGCTTTGAAAATGACAGATGTTGGTCAGTTCCAGGTCTTCTATTACAAGCCTTCAAAATCAAGCCTTGTAAAATGTTTCAGTTGGAGGTCTAACCAGCAGAGTTTGCCCTGGGCAATCCCTGTTGGAAATGGTGGAGGGTGGAGCGCAGGGTAGTGACATGGGACTGCTGTTGCTGCCATGGCAGAGACTCCTTGGGAGGCTGCCATTTTGACACTCTCACTAAATTGGCACCAGGAGCTGGTACCTCACCCACCTGCCACAATTTTCACCCACAAAAGAAATTTAACCTGAACAAAATGTTTATAATTGAATCGGTAGTTCTTTTTTAAAAGTCTTTCCATTATTCTCTCTAAGACTTAGTGAAACAAGACAGTATATGTCATTCAACCAACATATACAGAGGCAGGAATTTTTTTTCCCTCCCCCTTGTTTCAAAGAGAAAATGTATATTTATTGATTAATTTCAGGGGAGGATTGGGTAAAACCAGTGTTGTAAGAAAGTACTGTTATACGAGTTCAGTAAATGTGGTTTTAATTTAGGGTTATATATTTCATATCATTAAGGAAGTACTTGTGGCTACACTCTAAATTGTGTAATAAGATTATAGCAATTTTGATGGAATCTAGGATTCCACAGAAAGCAGAATTTAATTAAGAAGGCTTAATCAAGTTATGCCTTTTTTGTTACAAATAAAGTATATATAACCAGTTTTGTGTCTTAATAAGTTTAGGTGATTTATCTTGGTTTTCATGAATAAATATTAATTACAAGTACAAGATGCAAATATTAGGTTAAAGATGAAATGCAAATTATGTGTTTAGCGATAAAATCCATAGAAATTAAGTTACAATGTGCATATGTTGGATTTTAATTATAGATGTGCCCAGGCTATTAGGAGGGTAATCAGTTCTATATAAATTTCTTAAATATTTGTATCTTTGCATCACAAGTAAGACAATGCTACAAACTCAGTAAAACTATAAGTTTCTTGTTTAGAGGCTGTTTTTTTTTCCCAGAATGGAAATCCAACCATGATGTCTTAGTTCCTCAAAGAAACTTCCTTATCAAATTTAATTTATACATTTAATTCCTGAACTTTGAATTCTCGTCTCTTTTAAATATAACTAACCAAAAACTTAGCGTCAGGAGCAAATCCTGAATGTTTTCTGAATGCTTTTAACTTAAGGGGAGAGGGGTTTGTCTTGGAATAATATAATGATGTGAGGATATGCAATTAAAGTTCACTACTTGCAGAGCGGAAATTCTCCACTGCTGGAATGCTTCCAGGAATCAATGCCATTTCAGTGCGGCATGCTGGTACCATGCTGTTTCCTTCAAACACTTCTAAAGAACCAAAAGCTTGAAAACCTGCTTGTCTCCCTTCTGTCTAATAATACTAAATCTTAAATGTATTATTGATAAATGTCATTTTTGTGGATTCAAATGTCTCTGAATGTCACTAGTATCTGTTTTGGTTGTTTGAAAAAAATGATTGACTGAATATTAATTATCTGTAAAGTTCAAATGAAGTTCCTCTGTCAATGCAGAGATGGTATCAATTGAGTAGTGGTTGTTTTTTATATTTTTTCCCCAGGGAAGTCAGTTTACTCGCACCAAGATAATACAGTACTCCACAACTCTTACTGTTGACATAAAGTAGAGAAATCATACTTTTGATAACTTACTAGTTCGGGTCTGATTTTTACTATCAAGTTATGTTGACAGAACTTTAATTCTGTTAATACAAGTTGGCATGTGTCTGTGCATAAAGTTCTATTAAATTCAGAAACCTGTTTTGTTTTTTTTTCTTTGGTTGAGTAAAAGCAGCTCTCCATGCAGCGTAAAACCAACTGAAAGGTCGTCTTTCCCTTTTGTTGCTGTAACACTCCTCTAGCAGCAACCACCACGTCCTTATGCTGACTGCTTTGAAAACAAGTTTGAATTCTGTGGACAAAATTAGGACAACCTGGAAGCTTGCTCTCACTTTAAAATCCTCCTGGGTTTTGAAAATGTAGAGTCCTGCCAGTGCAAATGTGCAAGCAAATAAACCTGGCAGCAGGTACCTAAACTCTGTGCTCCTGCTTGAAGCAGGAAAGATGCTTGGATCTCCCTGGTTTGGGGAGGGGAGGGGGGAGTGCTGCTTCAGCTCAACTCCAAGAACCACTAAAACCTGAGACATAAACAAGCGGATTTTGGAGAGCATGCATAAAATCGAGTGCAAGCAAGATAAGCAGTGCTGAACAAAGACCAAGAATATCCCACAATACAGGCTTCTGCAACAAACATTCTTGGAGCCCTCCCTATGTTGTGATTCCCCCTCCCCCCTGGGAGCTCCATACCCTACTTGGTAGAGACTCAACTATCAACTTGATTTTAACCATATGCATATGAAGGAATACCTTGTGAGACTCCAAGAGGGATCTGGAATCTCCTCTCAGCCATTCAGCACCCAAGTTAGCCAGCTGAGACCAGGTCTGAGGCAGAGAACAGGGAAAACACCTCCAGTAAATCAGTGACGTACCACGGATCTCCAGCACCTGAGGGCAGTTGCTTGCATTTGCGTGTCCCCCCCCTGGTCCGTCTCATAGCAATATTTAGTCTCCCACCCTGGCCATGTTTGGTTACCTGTTTCGGCTGGGAAGGAAAAGAAAGTCCTGGCACAATGGACGTAGGGGGAGGGGTGTCAGCTGGAATTTCTGGCCAGAACAGGTAACTAAACATCCAACCCATGCGGTGGGCGGGCAGGTTACACAACAAAGGTGGCCACCATTGCCAGCTGCGTGGGGCCTCTTGTCTCCGCAGGTTTCGCAGATAGGACAGGCCCGCCCTGGTCATGTTGCACAATAAGAACTCTGAAGGGCCTGGCCAGTGCTCCCGCCCAGGCTGGTGCCCGGGGGCCTTGGCCCCCTCCTGCCCCTCATTGGTCTGCCACTGCAGCAAATGC